AGCAGGATAGGGAAAACACAAAGGTAAAATGGGATTGTGAACAAGGATCCAATTCCCATTCGAGGTTGAGGTCATTCTCTTAAAGTGAATTTATTTAAATCTGTTTAAATGCAAATGTGTTATCAAAAAATGACTATTTAATCTCAAAAGTAATACTGAATTAAATGCACATTATTGATGGTGTAAACTCCCATCATCTGCAGCCTTTATCAATTTAACAAGTTTCCAAAGTCCAGCAAAATCAATAAATTTGTTAAATCTCGTCCTGGCTTGTTGCAAGTTCCTGGAGATCCTGAAAATCTGATCTTAGCCGGCGGCAGAGGTTTATCCAGGCCCCTCGCTCCCGTGTTGCTGCTCATTAATTTCGTCTATTTAGGAAAAGTTTTTGCTGCCTGCGTTGCTGTTGCCTGCAACTTTTTTAAGTGGTTTGCGGTTTATCATTTTTGGTTTTGCAAGGAGCGAAAATGCAGCTGGCCTCAGTGCGCCATTCCTTTTAGTTTTTCCTTTTTCACTCTGCCGCAAACAAAACTGTGCGCAAACAGGAAATAACGGTAACGCTGCTTCATTTCCGCTTTTATTAAAACATACTTTTCACGTTGTACCTTATCCTGCTGCTGGTTCGTCCTTACAGTCCTTCCCCCCCGCCCTCCTTTCCCCGCTCCTTTACTTTCCACTGCCAACTGTCTTACCGCTTTTTGCTGCGGGCGTCTTACTACTCTTTCTTCCAAAAAAAAGGTTGGTGGAAAAGGATTGGACCTTGGATATTGAAACTCTTCATCTTATTCTTTAATTACTGGAGTACTCTATTTAACAAGTCTCTCTAACAACTAATTATAATAACAAAGTATTCTTTTATATTATAAAAGCAATAATATTTTGTTATAAGTTTGACCACTTACTATTAAACCGATTATTATTAAACTGATTCTCTTTTATAGTCCACCCTCTTTTCGATAGATATCCAAATAAATTTGAACACCGCGTTTCACCTGCGAGTGTATTAACTATTCATTGTGGCCGAGAAAAGTTTGTCCCCCAGTGTTTTATCTGCCTTCGTGGTTGTTGTTGCTGCACTTCTGCCACCCAAATTTCCACCGCCCTCAAATGCAGCTTGTCACTTCCGCCAGCCAGCCGCCCGCAGTTTTCCATGAAGGAAACTTGTGCCCAGAGTTTCGGGTTTTACTCCACTATCTGTGGGTTTTTTTCCTCCATGCTCTGCGGCTGGCTCTTTAAAAGCAGTCAGCGGATGCACTGAACCATCTTTTAGAGGTGGGCGGTGTTTTTCCAAAGGAGGCGGGCCCTTTCTCACGGGGGTTTTCAGTGCATGCAAACGGCTGAACCCGAACCGCAGCTAGTTGAAAGTAGCCAAAGGTAATTAATTTTGTAGCTGTAAGTTGAGGGCCCGCTGCAAAACTTAGTCGCCGGTGGATTCCGCACTCTGGATTCTGGATTCTGGATTCTGGAGTCTGGTTAGACGACCGCAAGCTTTTGACAGTCCGCGCTCTTCGCAAATGGATTTCGCATTTTCCATTTACTTTAGTTTCCCACTCGGAATGAGTGGCAACATTTCCTCAAAATGCAAGTGCGATTCTTTTCCTTCAGGTGGATCTGTGCGTGTGTCTATTAATTTTCTTGGATGCAGCAGCAGCTCCAAAAGGAGCCATTTACCACGCCCCCAAAGGCGTTGACAAACGGGCGGTGATAAATTGCTGGAGGGGTTCAAGGAAATATTTTCTGAGTATGCACTGGTATTTTAAAAACCGAAATTTAAAGAGATTATTACTTATAAATTGGATTACTTTATTTAAGTTTCTTAAAAACAGTTTTGTTGTGTGTGAACATAAATGTTTCTGTTAATGAAAGGTTAGATAAATCTGTAGAAATTATTACTGTTATATTTTTCTAAGCGTGTAAGCTTTTCCGCTTCGGTTGTACACACTTAAAAGCGAGTCTAATGGAGCGTTTGTTTTGGCTGCGTTGATTTTGCATTTATGCCGAGAGAGCGAACGCTTGAAGTCATTTTCTTAGAGCTGCAGGTTGTTTGAAATATAAATTTGTTTTTAAAGAGCCGCCTGCCAGACGCCCTTGAGAAGCAGACAAATTAAATTGCATACTGGTTCAGTAGCTTCAGCCTTAAGTCCCTTAATTCCCAACCAGTTCACCTCATTCGATCTGCTGCGAGTCTTGAGCTCTGAGTCCGGTGACCTGCTGCTCAAGGTGTGAAGGTGCAAAGGTTGTGTCAGAGGAGCAAGGCCTCAGGTAACAGGACGCGTTAAAGTCAAAAGTTGCCAAGACCATCAAGTGTTGCCATGTACTTACTACTACACACAAATGAATCGGAACGAAACAGAACGAAACGAAGTTATCAAGAAACAGGGCACAAAGCCATTTCGATTGTCCGCCTGTCTATCCTTCTGTCTCGAAAGCGACAAGTGTTTGGGGCTCCAAGGAGAACGCCCCTTGAGCTGTCTGCACTGCAGTTCGGGGAAGGGCGAAAAAAACTCAATTCTCGGCCACAAGTCCCCAGTCCTGGCCAAGCCAAAAGCAAGTGCGTGCCGGCAAAAAACGGGAAGAGGAGGAGACTATTCGGGGTCCTCTAAGCCCGGCCAATGTCAGAAGTTAAAACGTAATAACAAAGGCAGAAGGAAGAAGGCTGGCCGAAGGAAAGTGGAAAATATCTAATCAAAGACGGCCTGTCGAGCAGCTCGACGTCTCGGAGTGCAAAGCCGACGAAGCCCTAGAATTGTTTTGCAATCGTTGAGTTGAGTTCCTTCTGAGGACATTATCTGGTTATCCGCCGCCCTTCCTCAAAGGAACTGCTGGATTTCATGGATCCCTGACCCGCTGCTAAGCCGCACTGCACGGCTTCATAATTTTCACCGCATGTGGTCGTGTTGCAGACGTCTTTGGTTACCCTCCCTCGACTTTCAATTGAATTCATCTACAGGCTGAAAATTTTAGGAAAAGCTGGATTCAACATTTACATTAGTATACATAGAAAATAATTCATTTAAGTATGAAGTGATTAAACATTTCCTGTTTAGAGTATTTTCCTTTAAGAGTTTCATTGCTAATTTAATTTACGAAACCATTTTTTTTGAGTGCCGGAATTTCGACTGTGGTTAAGCTTGCTATTTGCGGCTGTTTTGCGGCAAATATTCGGGGGTAATTAATCAACTGCCACGCGCATCGGCCACGCCCACCCGAAATTGGCAGAATTCTATTAGGCCGAAGCGAGGCAGCTGGGTCTTGGCCTTGGCCAAAGTTGCTGCCTAAGCCGCTGCAAATCCCCAGAAAGCCCCACCCGTCTGCACCTGGCGTGTTACCTTGGCACATCCCAAACAAAAATGGAAAAGAACGTGGAAAATTCGGAAATTACTAAGTTATGCCAGCTGTCGCAAAAATCCAGAGTTATATTTTCGCTCTCGGTGAAAGCAGCTTATATCCACTCTTCCCGGGAGGCAAATCCATCCATACGGGAATGCCATCGTATTTTCGTTTTTATCGAATCCGATTTTATTCGGTTTCCGGCCACTCTCGTACCACGCTGGCAAAGGATTTTCCGTTGAATTTTATGCTAATTATGCCGCTAAGCTCTTGGGCAACTTTCAAAAGAGTTTCGAGTCTTAGCGCGCTTAAAAAACTTCCAGAAGCCGAAGCCGAAGCCGAGCGCAATATTTGGCCAAGACATCTTGGCGCGAGCGCTTATGCAAACAGATTTGCGCTGACTGCAGGAAATTAAATCCCCAAACCCCCATTCTCCATCCTCCATCCCGCTTCGATAAACTCGCACACGTTGGAATTTTTTATCCGCCCCGAAATATTTATGGCCAACTGCTTATAATTTACGTTCCGCAGACTTCGACCGGCCGGCGTCTATGGCATCAACACTTCCGCCAGCGGCGTCGTCTGGCGATACCAAGTAAAACGCTGCCGGAAATCCACGTGGCGGTCCAGGAATCGCAGGATCCGAGGGGAGCCCCAGTGGCATAACAAAGAGAAAAAGGATACAAGAAGGATCTATTCTATTCGGTCATGGCAACGGTTTAATACCCGTTGAGCATAATGTTTTATTAGTCTGCAGAGGTCAAAGTCTTATTTAATTGAGTTTGCTAACATTTTCCTTTTAATAAAACAAGAATAACAATAAGTTTGGCATTTGTATTTTAAAAGAATATTTTTTAGTCCAACCAAATATAAATTCACTACATAACAATATACCTCAAGACTCCTCACAATAAGAGAGAGTATGAAAAAGGGGATAGGACCGAAATAGAAAGGACATGCCTGGGCAGTTTTTGTTGCTGACTGAGCAGCATATGGCAAAAGTTTAAGTAAGCAATATTTATTTTGTATTTCTATTTGTTTGGGCGAGTATTCTTCCATTTCAATACAGTTCGCACACCGACTGCGGTCTGCAGCGGATTCCGAGCTGGCGAGAAAAAGCTGGATGGAAAATTCCGGGAGAGCGGGAAAGGAAAGTGGAAAATATGAAAAATTGCAACATATTTTCCTTAGCCTCTGGTCGGAGTTAAACTTTTATTTGTTTGCTTCATTGCATAGCAGAGGCATTTTGTGGTTGAGCGAATCTCAAAGTTGCCTTGCTTCTGCCCTCGCATCCATACAAAAACCCGAAAAGGGGAGAAAAACTAAAAGTGCACACAAAGGCGAATTTGTTTCTGGCGCTGCTGCATCTGCATCTTGTATTGCATATGATATGCGATATAGCGAATGGCATATAGCATATAGATTTCTTTCTGGCATCTCGGGGGCTGGTCACTTGCCTGACATGTCAATAAGCCGTAATATTTGGAATTTTGCGGTTCTGAGATATGTGAAAAATAGTTGGTCGATCGACTTATTGACTTGTGGCCATCACTCGGATGCCTGGCAGTAGGAATTTCTTGGGGCAAGCACACTATGCGGCATGCATCATTGAAAATGTGGGCAATCCGTGGTATTTGCATCGCATTTTCCCCGCAAATGGAACTGGTACTCACCTCCTTCGTCGGTCATCACCAGGATGGTGGTCTCCGGTCCCAGACCCTCGGGATTGAACACCTGCACCGTCACCTTGTACTGCGTGTAGGTCTGCAGGTTCTGTATCTCATGGCTCTGCGAAGGAAAGAGGGGAAATGATGTCGTAGAATCAGTTAAAATTCGATTTTAATATGCAAGCAGATGTCGGGAACAGTTGAAAACAACAATGGAAAAACCCTATAAGCCATAAAAATCATTTAAAAATAAATCTATACATTCAGAAAAATTTATTTAAAAATTTTTTTAAGATGATATTATGTTTTTTATAAAACAAATTCTCAATTATTGACAAAATGTAGTGTTTTTTCTGGCTGTGTACTCACTCCGAACGACTTTTCGTTTGTTGGCCGTTAAAGGCGCATAACAAAATAAAGTGGAGCACTTCCAGCAAGTGCTCCTTGCAGCAGCCCCACCCCATCGTGGACCACCCCCTGCACCCCCTTCCGCACCACCCTGCCACCCCCTTCCCCTTCGCCCATCAGCATTGTGTATGCTCGGAGCGGAAATTGCGCGTTGCATACTGTTGTGCGTTGCCGTTGGCAAATATGAAAATTGCAGCACTTAAAATTGATTTGCAGTGCTGCGATGTCGGTGCAAAGGAAATTGAGTTGCTTGGCCAACGAGCAGTAGTCTTTGCCTTAATTGCCACAGCACACATCCATGCACAGAAAAAAAAAATGAACCAGACAATAGGGATTAAGAAAAACCGCATTACTTCTGAATTCTTTTTGATTTGGTCTTCAAATAAAAAGAAATATAAATACCAAAAAATAATTAAATCTTAAAACCACAACATAAGTGGTAAGAAATAAAATATGTATTTTGAATAAATATTCACATATACTGCTGATTTTGTATGTGTGTACGAAAAGAACTCGCCATAAGTGAGTCCGTTCCGCTGACTTTGTCCGTGAATTTAGCAAGCGTCTGATTAAGGTTTTAGCCAAAGGTCAAAAGCAGTGCCAAACCATAAAACAAGCCGCAGACTTAGAGAGGTTCACTGCCTAAAGCACCACACACTCGGCACACACTCGCAAATGGTCAGCTGCTTTCGGCAAATTATGTAGCATACATTAGGGCACTGCCTTCCCGAATTTGCCTGCTGGTGTGCGTGTGTGTATCAGTGTGCGTCTGCGGTCCGACCGCAAAACCAACGGGTTTCCGACTGTGCGAACTTAAGGCTTGTGCTTAGCATCGGATTGACTGCCATGCCAACAGCTTAAGTGGCTGCTCTGAGCTTTTCAGACGGCGCCAGCCGCAATCGCAGTTATTTCCACCGAAAGCGTGATATCTTTCTCTGCCGGCCTCCCTTTACAGCTGCGGTCAGAATAATAGCCCAATAGCGCTCTTAAAATGCTACAAAGCTCATTCTGTACAAATAATTGGTCTAAACAGTGTAAGCTTTGAATTAGTTGGTGCATAAGAGGAATTATTAGTACTAATAATATATAATCCGTAATCCATAAATAATTACAACATTTTTAATTGATTTTTTTTTCTATTTACATATCTAACATTTAATTAATTATTTACTTTTTTGCATAAAGAGCTTAGGAAATAGTTCCATCACTGCTATTATTTTTACGGCTATTGTATATACTGCGGCGTTCAAAAGACTGAGCGCGTGGATTTAGTGTTTCTATATAGTGGGCGGTCATATAATTCCATTTTATTTAGTCGCCAGTAAATGAGGCCGAAAATTTACAACTGCTTTTATTTATATGGTCAGCTGAAAGTTGTAGCAGCCCGAGGGCGGCGGGCTCCGTAATTGATTTAATGTAATTGATAAAGTTGCCAACTTCCCGCCATATTGCATAACTTTGGAAAGTGTGAAGCAGGGGGGATAAGCATCTAAATATTCTCGCCCCTTCCGCGTTAATTAGTGCTAGCGGATAATGGCTCAACTGGCAACAAAGAAAGGATTTCCGTGGTAGCGGAAGAAGAAAAAAAAACCGGGCACTTCAAACAGATGTAAATTTCGCCTGTCAAACAAATTCCTATGCCTGCGCAAAAAACTACACAATTTTCCCCAACTGAACTGCTGTTTTATCTACACATTTTTTGTTCATCAACAATATCAGTAGCGGGATACGCTTTTTCGCCTCCGTTTTTTGCGTGGAGCAACTTCCTTTGAGGTTTCGTGTGACTCGACTTTCCGGCTTTTATCTGCGTGAAAGTTGCGAAATTTATGCTTTACGGCGCAGAAATTTTAATTAGAAAATTGGCAAATTTAGCCCTGCAGGCGAAGCTGGGAAAATCCACCGCCCCCGCTTTTCCACCTCACACGTGACAGCTCAATGTGAATGCCTCTGGCCAACGAAGGCGGTAGCTAGAACGGGGCGTGGCGGGTCGGCGAAAGCCGCAGGCTCCTGAATGCTGATGCTGCGATATGGGAATAACAGAAAGCCATGTCCTGGAGTCCACCAAAATGACTTGAGCACAAAAAACAGATACACATTGAGAAACGAGAGAAGACTTTAAATTGAAAATAATGTTTTTTAAACTCAGCTTTCAAGGGATTTAAATCCCACACCCTTACATAAACTTGTAAAGCGGTTCGTTTACGCACAAGGAAATGGAATATTACCATAAATGATGGCATCAAACTTATTATTTTGGAAAACAGAGTTTTTAAATCATTTTTTTTTCTCCCTGCAAAAAAATAAGTACGAGTATAACTAAAGTCGCACGTTCCTGCCTGCAAGGATAATATTTCAACATGCCACCGACATGCAAAAGAGAGAAAAATAGAGGACATGCAGACAGAGACGGGTAGCTGCGTCTAGATAAGGACAAAATATGCACTCGGGCACAAAAGCGTGCCACGCTTGTGGCAATCAAGCGTCCTCCTCTTTGGGAGCCCACCTCCCACCAACCGCCCACTTCTTTTTTTTGGGCACTCAGTCGCGCCGAGTGTCGTACGTGAGCATTATCGCTAATAATTTCTGCATATTTTAGTCAAATCCCCTTGCAGCTGGGAAAGGCACCCGGCATGCAGCTGCAAATTCATAAATGCATTCCCTGTGCGCTCGGTTTTGGAATTTCGCTCTAAGAGCTTCAGAAATGACCAGCACTTTGAATTATGAAATAAACGCTTCAGAAAGTCATCCTTTGATAGATCAATATGGGTTTAAATGGAAATGGAACTTTAGAATTCTCTAACAATGTTAATGTATTCATAAATCTACCTGATTCCTGACAACAAGTTAACAGAAACAAAAAGGACTTACAAAAGCTTTAAAGAAGTCCCAACAAACTGACAGATAGCAGTTCAATAATTTATCGAAGTAAGCGCTTTGTTTGCCTTTGGCCAAAAACTTCTGTTTTATTGAAAGGTATTCCCAAGTTATTTGTTCTGGGTTCGCCCCCATTTTCCCAACTCGCTCAGTTCATTAGCCAACTTGCGTGCCCAACTAGCCGCACACAAAGAAGGCCCGTGGAGTCGGAAAAACACACCCACTGTTTCGGCCTAGACGAGTAGCAACTGGCCCCAGCTGAGAACTAATCGTTAACAAATTGCCACTGATAGCGGGGTCCCAAACGAGATATTGTAACATCTTGACAGGTGGCCACCGAAAAACACTTGTAACCCCGAGTTTTGTAAATGGGTGGGAATGTTTTGCCTGTGGCCAGGTGTAAATTACTTTTTAATACGCCGCTGATGTGACTTTAAGCCGGCGAATGACAGGGTGGAAACACATTTTAGACCAACTTTATGCCGAAGCCCTGGCTCTTCAAATCGGAATAGAATCCTCCAGTTGCGGCAAAGAAAATGATATGCACGCGGCAAGGCAGACAGACACGAAACGAAACCGAAGCGAAATTGAATGACGCTGCAGGCGGAACACGAAATGTTTCCCTCTATTGTAACACTGGAAATAAGTTTGTGCCTTTCTAAATTAATGTCAGGTTTAGTTAAAAAGAAACACCAAAGTAATATAATTTCATAGGGTTCGAAGTTGATTTGAGCTTATATTAATACTGCTATGATATGAAATGGCTTAATATATCAACTGAAAAATCTATATAATATGTTGAATGCAAAAAGATCTGTTAAAAATGAATAATGAAATTTAATTCATAAGTTTTCTCCTACTGTACTGAACCCCAGGCATGCATTTACAGAACGCCGGAGTGTCAGAAAGCATGAAATTCAATTATCTTCGGCCTGTACAACTAAATACGACGCGGAGTGTAATCGCAACTCACCTCCACGGTATTATCGCGAATATAGATCTCCTTGGTATCGTTGGGATCCCTGTCCCGCGGTCGATATGTGATGCGGTAGCCGAGGAACTCGCCCAATATGGTATCCGGTGGCGGGGCCTTCCACGAGATGTACACCGAGGTGGAGGACGTGTTGTGGGCCGTCGTCGGAATGGGTTTGCCCGTGGGAGCTGTAAGAGATTAAGTCGGTTAAAGCAAGAGCAGCTAGGCCATAAACTTTCCCTGGCAGCAAAGTTCCGGCGGAAAACTCAAAAATTCGAAATTAAAAACGCCGCGCAAAAGTTTCGGCCAAAAACTCTGACCTGTCATGTAAAGCGGAACGTTGTCTGTGGCATTGTCAAGTTGTCACTGTCACGCAACATAAGTTGCAAGTGCCTCAGCCTGCTATTTTGGGATTGGGAGTGGGTTTCAGGGTCTGCGCCTACGTTTGGACGTCTTTCCTGTTCGCAACCATGCTTTTTTTGGCCTTGTCTACGGGAATTACTTGCAGGTTAAATGATGCGTGTGTCGTGGAGATACACTTAAAAAATATATTTTGTGAGTAGCAAAATTTGGAATTGCTTTGCTTCTAAGTTATACAATCGAACAACATTATTTTCTATTTTTTTCTAGTAACATATTCTGTTATTTATTGCGACTTTTACCCAACTTTTCTGAGTGTAGCAGGTGTGCGCGGCTAAGGATGATCTGGCAGTTTGCCAACCCCTCAAGTAGGGCGAAATACTTCGCATACCTCAATGAATTTATAAATAAATTAAAAGATATTTTGTGTCTTTCGGCTTGACATTGATGCCGAGCCAAAGTTTGCTCTGCAAATTGAAAACTTTCCGCTTTTCCGCCGCTTAGATTTAAGATCCGCTCGGCATTCGTTCTTTAGCCGGAGAGTAAGTGTGTCGTTGGTTAATTTATGCATGCCGCAGCCGTAATTTATACAAATTGGCAACTCGGCCAGCGACCGCAGAATTGGCACACACACATACACACACACACGTATACTCTTGGCTCTCCAGGAGGGCCAGAAGGACCTTAATGAGCTCAGGAGCCGAGGACATAGCTACACACTATTGACTAATTTGTAACCGCATGTGTTGCAGCTTCGGCAGCTTGGGTCGCATTCCATTGTGCGTGCGGCATAAATGGAATTTCACACCCAACCGAACAGCCTGCACAGAGAAAAAAACTCTACATTCTAAGCATTAAGAAATGCTAAAACTATTTAGAATTTAAACAACTTTTAGAAAAGGTTAATGGACCTAAACTTGTAAAAAAATCTATGAGGTTTGCATGAAGTGGTCTAATATCTCCTGGTAAAAGTATTAATTTAAGTTTTGATTATATTTTGTTTCTGTGCAGCGGCAAAGTCATTTTCAATGTTCGCAAGACAAATGTGTTGCTAATAGCTTGTCGCTGTAGCCACTGCGACTGCTACTTTGCCTTTGATTAATGTGTCTCGCGCTCTTAAAGCCTACGGAAAGTTCTGTGACTTTTTGGAGTCCATTTATACATATGCGGGAGGCACATACTATATATGGAACACGCACCGCCGCACGATTAATCATTGTCTGTGGCAGCAACAGCAAGGGCAACGGCAGCAGGTGAAATGTCAGCCAAATGACAAGGATTGCTGAGGCACTCGGCACAAAATTAGTGCATCCGAAAGAACACAACAGCATGCCTGGCCTATAGTTCGCCTATAGTTCCCCCGACTTTTAGGAGGTAAGGTTCCCTGCCTTTTTCTGGCATGTTAATGAAGGGATCGCTGGCCCTAAAGTTTAAGTGTGGCTATAATGCAGTCGCACGTGCGGACAATTCAGCTCAAAAAAATAGTATTCTCTGGAAAACAAGCCATAGAAAAACAAAGATCTTAGATTGCAGTAATGAAATTGCAAGAAAATAAATGTTTGCCATTCTGACATCGAAATTTTATCTAATATTTTTTTTAAGTATTTAATTTTTATGCTGCAACTTCCTGCATAATATTTAATATCATTTAAATTAGTAATAACCAATATTCAAACGATTTTAGTTGCTATTTATGATTGAACATTAAAACTTTAAACCACTTTTGTGACCGGAATTGTAGTTCTCCCTAGGCGGACGCACTTAATGTCATCGCCAGCTGGAGGATGCGATGCGGGAGGAGTTTCCCGGGCGGAGGAGCCCCATAAAATGACGACACACCTGCCCTCGCCGAGCCTGCGTTGGCCTGCCGTCAGCGGAAAAATAATTAAACGTATACAACGTGAGGAGACTCCGGCTTTACGAGGCCGTAATTGCTGGTAGTTGCGGGAGAACCGGGAGTGGGATCAAACCGGGCGAGCCTGTGACAACTTTTCATTGACGGCACTTAAAAGTCAGGCCAAGTCGTTGGAATTGAAATGAAAAATTAATGCGATTGTAAAAATTGTTATGTCATGTGTCGCGCAACTTAACTCCGGGCTATATGTTACATTATGTTATGTTATGCGAACCGCCTACGCGAATAGTTTACGATCCGTCCGCCAATAAAGTGTGTAAGCCGAAAGGACTTTTGGGGAACGAGGACTCACCCTCACGCAGCGTGACTATGTAGTAGGACTCCTTGGACGGCGGACTGATTCCCAGCTTGTTGACCGCCAGCAGGCGAAAGCTGTAGACGGTGAAGGGCGTCAGCCCGGTCACCTGATATGAAGTCGCATTGGTTTTCGTGTAGATCCTGGCCAGCTGCTCCCAAATGCCCTCCTCGCCCTCACTGAAAAGAGATATAAAAAATTAAATAGGAACTAATGGAAAATATAAATAATATAAATAATATAAATAATTTTAGGTCATATTAACAACAGTTTATTTATCTTAAATGTTATGTGGGTAGAGTATCCTTAAATTTCGAGTTTGGAAACCTTAATGACCTCATTAATTTACAGTGTGTGCTGATGACTTATTCAGTGGGGGAAATTCAATGAACAATTAATCGAGCAAACGACACGCGGACAAACAAAACATTTTGATTCGACCAAATTATTTGAACGAATCATTTCATTATTGTGCATTTATATTGCAATTACCAGCTCAATTGCCGCACACGAGCACATCCATATAAATAAACTCAGAAATCTATATTTTACGTCTGCAATCTGCCGGCGATGGGAAAGCGGGACAGAGCGGTTCCAATATACATAAACCATGGGCATAAAATGCATTATGAAAATTTATATAAAACGGATGCGGATTTGCATGACACTTGCGGGTGGTTGGGTCCTTTTGGGATCCGCTCGTGAAATGTGTGCCGCGCATAGGCACTAAAATATTTATGCGCCTTTCTGCCGTACAATAACACACAGCCACACAACCACACACTCACGCATATACACACACCCACCTACGATACGACAAAAAAAATATTTGTATTCCGCCGATATTGTTGTTGGCGCGCATATAAATTACTCGCAGCCGCTCGCACAATGAACATTTTTCATGGCACATTTCAAAGTGTAGTAAATTTTGGTCTAAACTCACATAATTTTAGCATATTTTTTGGCACATTCTGTTTTCAGGGGCCTGCATAAATTTTGCGCTGGCCCCCTTCTAAAGTTTGATTTTAATGGGGCTTACCGATTCGATGCGGCTTTTATGGTGTGATTAAAAATTGTTTAAATATGAGCCGATGAAAAATGTTCAACATTTCATGAATGGCGACAACCAATAAATGGTACCTCGAAAAAAAGCGGCCATCGGAAATTGTGTCAAAAAAATGATTAAAATTAATAAATGCGTGCGAGCAGCTTCCGCGTTGAGTGGAGCACATCTGTTTGCGTTGGCAATGGGCATTTAGTGAGTATATATTGTGCATATATAGCCAAAGTATCGGGAGCATGGGCCCTGCGGACCCGCTGCATTCGGTGGCAAAAAACTATTTGGCGACTTTATGAAGCATGGCGCAGCGCGTCCTCCCATCATCTGGCCCGAATGAAAAACATATGAGAAATGTTCAGGGCCTGGTCCTGAAAGCCCGGAACGCCGGCTGAAAAAATCGAGGGAGAGATTCTCCGGCAAAGTAACCACAATGGCATATAAATTTGCGGCGGGTTCCACGGACGTGTATTGGATGCTTTTTGTTGTTATTCCCCAGTCCTTGTTTTTCCCCCGTGGTAAGCTGCTTTAAAAATGTTTGCTCACTTTTTTTCATATTAAGCAAATGAATATGAGTTATTTATGCATCTGTGAGAGTTTGTGTTTGCCCTTCGTTGGTATCGCTCCTATATGACTGAGGGCTATGGACCAAGGTTCACGCACGAGTTGTTGAAAGAGGACAATTTACTTGCGACCGGAGTCCTTAAAGATAATGGACAAATAGTGGTCGAAGCCCTCGGCAGATAAGTCAGGCACTTGGTTAAAAAACCGAAAATTTATAGTAAACATTTTGGCAGCAAAGAGGATTTTATAATATATATATTTTATTGGAAAGTAAAATCATGCGTTGACATCCCTTGAAAGTGATTTTAAACTACCGGAGTACACATGAATATTTTAAATGAAAGAATTGCATGCCACTGTGTTTAATTTACTTTAAGCAATGTTGTTTTTTACTTGTTCCAATTAAACGTGTTTTTATTAATATTTCCCAGTTCATTATGCCTTCACAAGTATTTTACATAATGTGGAACAAAAATTACAAAAATAACCAGCGAATGAAAATGTTTTCATAAGCGAAAGATTTAATTAATTTTATTCGGTGTACGGCAAAAAGAATCTGAATAAACATGGCAAAATCAAGTGTCGGAAAATGCAGCTAAGTGAATTGCCCGACCGAATGAAATATCTGAATTATCGGCGGACAGCGCATAATGATATGGACGGGTTTTTATGCGCCACTATTTGAGTTTTGGTGAATGGAATCGAGAAACAGTATCCACAACAGTTGATAAACATGTCAGTTGTGGAGTGGCAGGCCGCACAGTTGCCCCAGTTTTCGGTTAACCGAAAGTTGTGCCAGTGAAATTTGCGAAATACAAAACATCAATGCATATATGCGCACACATCCGGCGAACTGATGACATTATCCTGCCTGCTGGCTACGCAACAGTTGAGGGGCAGCAATTTATGGATAGACTTAACGCTTGGCAGGGCAGCTCAGCCCATTTCAATTGCATGCGAGCAAGCCGGCAAATCCAGCGTAAGGATGTCCCCATCACCATCATCATCGTCATCATCTCGTTGACGTTGGCGTCTTTCAATTTCGATGGGAGCTCGTGTGCATATTGAACCGCCCCCCGCCCCCGCCCCCTTTTCCGCCTCGTCCCCTTTTGCATATGCGCAAATAAACCGAATCAAGCGAAAATGTAAATAAGAGGCGTTGTGAATGAAGGGGGAGGGGGAGAGGGGGTTCCTCGACAGCATCAAGAACTCAACTCACTCCCATGTCGATGGGAATTTACATAAAATGCAGTCTGCAGCTCTAGCGCGCTGGAGAATGAGTTTACGAAGGGGCAGCTTCATTTTGGGTACGCTTTGCCCAAAAAAGTATGCTATGCTGCGTATAAGCTGCTCATGCACTGAGGAAAACCGTTCTCAAGAAGTTTTTAAAAAATGTTTTCCGCTCGCTTATCAATTCTCATTTTGTTTTATTGCCATTCCTTATCTCTTCTTCGTTCTGTAATGCTTTTCCTTTAGGTAAAGTTGCTCTAAACTTAAAATTGAACTTTATAGTTTCTTTTGTGTCCCCTAAAAATATCTCTCAGTGTGCGATACTTGGCAGGCGGCGGCGCGTGTTCACATTTCCTTCAGTGTTTGTGTCGGTGCAGTTATTTCTTATTTTGCATAAATGCACCGCAGGCTCTGCTTTCCAGTTGGCTGTCATCGATTGTGCCGGGAACCCAGTGTCTTGTCGAGGACACGCCCTCGCGGTCGCCGCCCCTCCTTCGCCCCTTCCCCTTCGGCGCTACTGCAGTTGATGGAAATTTATTGAAAAAGTTTCGCTTTTTGGTATTTTTTCCACATTTTCGCATGGCCTTTGTGCCGCGTTGGCGGCGCTCGCTTTTTATTTCATGCCCCGCATTGAGTTCAAGTTATTCGGAAAATAGCCAGCGCCGTACAATACAAGGCGTGTGCGTTTGCGTGTGTGTGGGTGTGCTTGTGTGTGGGTGTGTATGTGCTCGACTTAACCCGGGAAGCCCCTTGCACACACACCGATGCACAGATGGCTTTATACGCGTGCCTGTGTTTTCTTTTCTATTTAAATGGAGCACAAGTGAAGTGCGTATCCACATAGTCAGGCATGTCCTCGCAATCCTTTTACATATTAATTAAAGTACTGCCGGACCAGAGGGAGGATGTGCGGCCAGAGATTTACAGTGATGGCCACATATTTAGCATCGAGTAATAATAATATCAGGAATCTTGATTGTAGTTATTTAGCTAGACATTTAATACTTTGAATACAATTTATAAATTATTTTATAAAGTGTTAGTGCTATTATTTCACCCACAGTTGCACCTTTAAGCCAGCCGTAAACTCATGATTTTAATTGAATGCGTTCGGCGAGCTGACGCGGAAACCAGGTGGGCGGTTTCAAGTCAAAGTTGTGGGCGTGGCCAGCTGCTTAGCCTCCCATTGATGCTGATGGCCGCATAATGGCGATGGTGTGCATCCGCGTTTTGCTTTGCTCGCTAATTCATTAGCGGAATGGGGTCAGCCGCAGTTTGTATCCTTTGGCAAAGCTCCTTTGCATGTGTCAATCATGGACGCGCGTCCATCATCGCCACAGACAGCTCTTCAGCGCCCTTGGCCAACCACCCAACCCCATAGCTTTCCATCCACCCCCTCAGCCCCCCTAGTGCCTCCCACAGGCACTTCATCAGCTTAAAACAACGCACTGAGGAGCAAAGTGCTGCGCAATTGGCTAGACTAGCGTTAATAGCTATCTAGGTCTATATATATATATTCAAAAAAAAAAAAAAAAAAAACCTGTTCAAATATATTTCCTCAAATTTTGGTCTTGCTTGTCAATTTCTTTAAGATTATGATTTATTATTTGGTAATTGTTTAAGACTTTTGCTTTATCACTGTCACTTAACCTTATTTATTTCAATCCAAGGCTTTTTTTTAGGGTTTTCTTTTATATTCAGGACCTTACACTTTTTGTGTGTAATCTATAGGTGACACCTCTGGTGGGGCTTCATTCTTCGTAGTGGCAACACTTACCGCGTTTCAATAATAAAATGCGTGACGGGCGCATTCCGTGGATGCTGCGAATGCGCCCAGGATAAATTCACCGAGCGTGATGTGAAACTTATCAACAATGGTCGCTCCGGCGGATCGGGCACATCTGCAGGGAGAAACGAGAAAAGTGCCAGCTATCAGTGGAATGCAAATGGAAATCATGTCAAGGCGAGGGCGACAACAATGAAAACAAGAGTGTGACGCCGATGCAAATATACGAGTAAGGAGAAAAGCGTCGGGGAACGAAGACATATCGGGAAATGAAATCTGGGGCCAGCGGATTGTTGGCCAAGTAAACCGGAGAAATCGTTAAAGTAGTTAAGCGTTTCATTAAGAAAACAAGTAAATGAAAATGAACGCGATAATTGAAACCAATGGCAGTTGCTCGAAAATGAAAACTGAAGGGAAATACGAAATTAAATCCCCGAGAAGGAGAAACACTTTTCGAATATTTCCGATATAAAATACTCACCCTGCACCAGTAAATCGACGATGGCCTCTGGTATATGCCGATCGTTAACTAGGCATATATACTCCGAAGTATCACTTGCTAGGGAGGGCGAAAAGTGCAGGCCGAAGTTGTCCGATAAAAGTTGTATCTGCAACGAGATGAGGAAACTTAATTAGAACTCCGTTTGCCTGATCCGAAAATTAAAATCTAGATAGTCAAGCCCAGACAACGAACATGGCGACCGACACGAGTTTCCACTTTCGTTGGGAAAAACTTTTAAATAAGAGGAGGACCTACTATATACATATGCGAAAACACACCAACCCTGTCATCGACCCGGCCTAAAAGTTTTTCCTGCATCAGGCAAATTTGTTTTGCCCACAAATGCAGCCCGGCTCATAATTGAACTATGTGTCTTCCCTAAGTTGAGCATAAAGTCAGCTGCATTGGAAGTAAATTCATCCAAGATTTGTTTGTTTTTCTGTTCTGATTTGCAGCAAATTCGGAAATTGCATGAAGCCGAAAATAATTTTCATGCTACTGTCGACATACCTGCCTTTCTCACAGAATTGGGCCAAATTTAATAAGGATTTTCATCACAGATTACTGCGATACAGCAAATGCATTTCGGTCGAATTTATGTCTGTTTCGAATGGCAAAACTAAATTATTTCGCCCACATTGCAACCAATCTATCTTGGCTTCAGTGACTGAGTGTATCTGGCTTATCTTCGCATGCCTGACCCGGTTATTTACTTTTGTATCTTTTGCCGCATGCATAACCTAAAATTACAGCCTTAGTTTCTTTATGCATATTCTCCTTAGCCGATTACATTCTGCATTTCCAATTGTTGGTCGACAGGCATTATTAGACAAGCTCCGAATATAAATATTTGCCAAGAGGACTTTTTAATTTCTTTTGCGTTCTCCCAGTAAACTCTAATTACATTCATCGCTCCTTTGCCCTTACATGACTAGAAAATCCGTAGAAAAAAAGGGGAAAGAGGAAAAACTTGTAGAGGAAAATCCCTCATCCTTCGGGCGAGTGGATTCTCCTTAGTCCGCTTGGCTTGGGCAAACATGAATCATTTCTAGTCTCGGCCATAAAACAAAAGTTAATAGCTCAACAGGGCACTAGTACTTTGTCTGTGTGTGTATGAGGAGGGGTCATGTGCCAGCTGTAATAAAATGAAGCAGCTACTGTGCCAAGGTGAAAAACTTTTAATACACATAATAGCCGGGCCAAGAAGCAGCCGCCGCACTTGCCGGCAACTTCGGCCAAGAAATGCGAACCGAGCGCCGAAGCCGGATTGGGACCAACTTTGGCTGCAGCTCAAGTGTCCCAGTCCGCCATTTAACACATAGCTGGGTAGCCTAGCCCTCATCTGCAGCACAGGCACAAGCTTCTAAATGCACTGGGAAAAATTTTTATACAAATTAAGGATAAATAATAAATTAACTAAATATTAAATGGGGTAAATCTTGACCGAATGCTTCTTTGAAGATAGCTACATTCATACAATTTTTATACAAATTAAGGATAAATAATAAATTAACTAAATATTAAATGGGGTAAATCTTGACCGAATGCTTCTTTGAAGATTGCTACATTCATAAATCTTAATCTATTTTATATTTTCTCATTTTTCTTTGGTTTTTCTCACACACCATTTTTTCAGAGTGCAGACATCTCGAGATTCTCCATCATCTTGCTCCCAACGAAGGGGCAACTTCATCATTCTGTTTGCGCCGCCTCAATGGCCCCCCGAGTGCGTTTAAGGCCATTGCAATCACTTTCGGCCCGCTTGGCTCCTCCTGCCATCCTTTTTCTGCCATCTGGCAGCCACTTGAACATTTTTTTTCGCCCTGTCGCTTTTGTTTTAGTGCAACTATCAAGCATTTAAAATATATTAGCCGCGCCGGCTGCACTGCACCCTGTGACCCCATGCCCCCCCTATAGCCCCCTCTCGCATTTCTTCATTTTCCCCCATTGATGGCCACTTAGTTGTCGGGACTTTCGCTGCACTTTCTTGTAGTCATCGCCGCTGTCGGCGGCGGATGGCAAAGTTCAAGCAGCGGCCCGGCAACCGGCCATCAATTATTTTAACAGCTTCGTTTTTGCCCGAGAAAGGGCCCTATAAATTCGGGGCGTTCGCCTGTCCAGGGGGAAAAGAGCCAAGTGTTGAAATGAATTCTGATACGGCACGAAAGGGCCATTGTTGAGTGAAAGCGGCCAAGGAAGGGTAAATCTTGAATAAGTAATTTCGAATATCCATATCAATATCGCAAATTGTTGGTTGAAGGAAAAACTTAAAAAAATAGCATTACTTTTTATTTCATGTTTGATGTTTTTTTTTACATGTTTGATACTACTTGGGATAATTTATTTTAACCTTACCCTTGGACTGTGGAGCAGGGGTATCCGATTGGCGAACTGCGCGATTGTCGTCGACGCCGTTTTCCACACGAGCGTGTCCACCAGAGAGTGCTCGTTGACCCCCGGACACGGAATGGTCACGTTTTTGCCCGCCTCGGCATTCACGGTTACGTAGTCCTTATTTTCGACGTCTGCAACCGATAAATAAAACATTAATTTAATAAGTGTGCATGATGACAAAAACAAGGCGAAAGGGTAATGGCTACAAATTTTGTTACAAAAAGGGCAGACTGCAAGGATATAAATATTTTTAAGTATTGCGAAAAAGGAGCTATAAATAGTTTTTATTTTGTTGCAAGCCAATAATTTAGTCAAATAGCTTGCAAAAAAAATTATTTTAAAATTGGGTTATGGAAAAATGTATTGGACTGATATTGCATTTTTTTTATTTATTTTTTTTTTTTGACATGTATAAGTGCATACTGCAAGAGTAAGGAAAAGTGGTGAAAGCTTGCCAGAATTTGGGGCATTCCATTGAGAAAGTTCGGGCTGCGAGCGGTAGCTGCTCATAAAAGAGGAGCTCAAGTTATTTGGAAAGGAATATTTTTGGCACACAAAAGCGAAAAGCAGCCGCAAAATGTTTGGGCAAAATATCTGCAAGGCATTTTAATTACATAACATGTTTACGGAGCAGTGCTCACAGTTTGTGCTCCGCCCCCCACATCCCTGTATATATAAATATATATATGTCAGTTGCCAGTGTTGAAAGCAATTTCATGGTCTAAACTATTTGGTAGGTTCCCAGCTGGTCACCTGAACACTGACCGGAGGTGGTCGGCACTTCATGCATGCCGGAGCAGATCCTTTCGAGCAATATTTGTTTTGGAAATTGCCAAAAATGCCCCGGATCTCTCTCACTCGGAATATTTCTCTGAGCGAACGAACGGAGCTTCAATTAAAATTATAGAAACAACAAATCGACCGGCAGGCCAGTGGGCAGTTGGCCAGCAACCGTCCGACGTAAGCAGCTTTGCCAGCTGAATCTGCATCGGTATCTGCATCTCCATCTGCATCTGCATCTGCATAAATTGCCAAGCGTCCGAGTGTTGGTAATAAGCATTAGGCATGACATGGCACTAGCTCCAACACCCACTCCAGCTCCACCTCCAAAACTCTTCATCCCCATCCTCATCCCTTTCCACATCCACATCCAACTCCAGCTCCGATTTCGATTCCAGCCCGCCACTTGCAATCAATTGAGAAATCATGCTGAAAACCCAAACGATTCTGCTGCCAATGCCAAAGCCAAAAACCCACCCATTAGCCATGGCATTGGCAGTGGCAGTGGCAGTTGCAACTCAACTGGTTGCCACAGCGACTGCATTTCGAGTGGGGTCACCACTTGGTCCGTTCAGAAAATGGTTTCAGCTCTCGGTTTTATGTATTTTTTGGACTCTGTGCCCTTTGGTGATTGCGAGTTCGCCGAAATGAGTGCTGCTTTTGTTCACTAAGCGCCGCTCATCGGAGTATTTATAAATTATCGATTCATTGTCTTGTGCTTTCCCTCGCCAGAAATTAAATTTCAGTCTGCAGTTCAGTCGCTGGAATTTTGCATAATGCGAAAAACGACATTCGCTGGAGGGTCAGTTTTTGTGAAATTTATGGACGCCTGAAGTCTTTGGGTGCACACAAGAAAATATACCAGAAATATTCTACATTTTGAAACAGACAATCATTGGCAGTATTAACATTTATGATAGTCAATCAATCAAGAAGAAAAAGTAGGCAACCATTTCCCCATTTATTTTTTAATAACACATTTTGAATCAGAATTTCCATCGATTTTTCTCAGTGTCCTTGTGGGAGGCGTGCCACTTTTGCATATTTCGCCAGGCGCATGCAGATGAGTCGGACAGCCAAAAACAGAGGGCGAATCGCAGTTTAATTTCCTGATGCAATGGCCCAGAGTTCAGGAAACAATTGCACACAATTTATGATGGGGGCTTTTTTGACGACTGCCCGAAACCGTTTTTCCGAGTAGAAGTTGGCAATTAAGCAGCAAACAGAGCGACATTCAAAGTTTCGGGCAGACAGACAGACGGGCGCTGTAAATAAATTATAATTATTTTGTGTTATTCAGGCGAGGGCCCAAGGGATTCGGGCTTCGACCACAGGAAAATTAGCCAACGACAAAATCGAAATAAGTAGTCAGACCAGAAGAGCACCACCCCTCGGTTTCCGGTTCGGTCTGGATTGAGCTAATAATCAAATTGAATGCAACCCCCGACGACTCGAGCGGCAACAATTAATTTTATTTATGTTGATTCTAATCAACGAACGAACCGGCAGACAGTCGGATTTCGGCTGGGATTCGCATCGCAGGCTGCCATGGCGAAGGATCCGTGCCTTTGAAATCCTAGCGGAAAAATCGCCCAAGCGGATGAAAGATGAAAATATTGAATTCATGCTTCGTTGCTCGCAGCTTCAACGGAAACATTTTGCACCCCTGCCAGGGAAAAGTGCACTGCGAAAGAATTTAAAGTGTTTTATTAACACAAAGGTAACCTTTAAAGAAGGAACCGAAATTCAAGGAATAATATTTAATTACTAAGAGTATTATTAAAGTTGGTCTTAAATTTTAAGAATGCTTTTTGTATATTTGTTATTCCATATTTCAAACCTCTTGGCTAAACAATTTCACATTTCCTCCTGTGTAACAGCAGTACAAATATTACAGCACTTAGCCGCGTCCAATTGTTTGTCCTGGGATCTCGTGAGCTCTTCTGACCCGTTGTCATGTCAATTGTCTGAAAAAACACTTTTTGATGTTGTGGAACATGGCTAAGCTCGGTTGGCCAACTCAACTAAAGTCGGAGAGGGCACTGCGAGTGGTATCTCCGTTGTAATATTCTTCTTTTGTTGCCGTCTGCTCGAAAAACTCGAGGGATCATTTGCATGCAGCTGCATCGATTCGGAGAACATTTAATGCTGGGGACTTGTGAATGGGAAGCCATTTGGCAGTCGGTCGGCAGTTAACCCTTTTGACAACAACTTTTCCGTATTTGGCTTTCAATTTCTGCACATTCCGGGTGTCATCTGTGTGTCTCGTACGTTTTGCGGAATCGGTTTTGTGCGTGCCACCAACAAGTTGCAACAGTTTATAGCCTGCACTTTGGAGTGCGTCTATTTGGAAGCCATTGCGATGCATTGAGGGGAATATCTGAATGTGCGGCCACTTGAGTCGCAGACTTTGAATGATCAAAGGGAGCATTGAATAAGGATGCACGCAGTTAACCTTCCCCGATTTCCCACATTAACCACCCCCTTGCGGTGCAGCAAATTCTGACGGGATTTAATCCCGCACTGGATGAGTAATTATCCAATTAAAATTGAAGTTTCGGTCGGCCGGTGGACAACACTTGGCTAGCAATTCCCCTGCCGTCGAGTCCCTCAACTTGAGGCACGTGGCGGGCGCTTCTGTCATTCATCTGGCTGAAAAAAGGATGCGCCAAGCATGTGTGCACTTAAAAAAATGAGTACTACAAAGTCAGGGGGTTAGTTATTAGGTAACGTAAAAAATATATACATTTTTTAACCAATACAACAAAGAGGGTAATAAGAATTAATTTTTTGAATTTAAATTTACAATACAAGATAATTATTTTTAGATTAGAATTTCGAAATGAAAGAATTTTTTTCAACAACGAATATTTTTAAACTTCCAGCTCAAGGCTTTGCTTGAAAATGAAATTCCAAGGTCAGAGAATCATTGCCTTTCTTTTTCTGGCTGTGTGAGTGCTTGGCTGCCCATCTTTTCTGTCTGTCTGTCTTTCGTCCTGTCTGCTGTTTGTATAGACGGTTTCTGTCAGCCTGCGATGGCCGCCAACTGGCACAGAAGCCGAGGAATAAATGCGTGTGCAGACATCGACGGAAAGGACATGCGAGCATCATCGTGCTCATGACAACCCGCCCACACATATACACACTCACTCACCCACACTCACCCACACTCACACACACACACACTCACGAATAACAACAGGCAGCCAGACAATATCCCTTTTTTATGCCTGAACGCAGCAAATAATGAAATTATGACAAGCGGAGGGGAAGGGTGGCCTCTGGAATAAGATGGGCACTTCTTGGGATGACGAAAACGAGATAAAAGCTGACAAGTGGCGAATGTGAAATATGATTGAGCAGGGCCACGCCCCAGTTCGCATCGCCTTCGCCTTCGCCTTCTCCTTCGCCCCGCCCACGAGCACTTAACTTTAACTAGGCAACTTGAAGTGTTTCAGCCCTGGGTAAACATATGTATATGCGATCCAGACGGCAGAGAAGCCCCGAGCCGCCGGTGGGCCCCCAGGATCAGTCAATAATGCTGACATCAAATTGAAGCCAAGCTGATGGCAACTGTCAGGCAAATGTGTTTCAATTTCGTTAAACTTCGGGCTTCGGGAAAGATGGGAGCGGGTTAAGGGTCACGTATGGGTTTTGGCCAATGGACGGGGTGGATGGATGTGGATGGTTCGCGGACCAAAAGGATCCCAGGGATTGCGGGTTGCGGGGCAACCGATAGTCGGCGGCCAGCGGTAATCCCTTCCGTTTCATTACACAAATGCGGCTTAAGGGGAAAATATATTATAAATGCCTACAACAATATAAAGGCCCCATAAAATACAAGCCATATTAAAATGCAAATAAACCAAGGGGGCAACCCACACGTGCACGGCGAAAAAGTAAACAATATCTGTTTAACATTTCAAAGTTATTTTAGGCTCATTCAAATTTAGTTACTGACTCTTTTGACCATTGCATATGATTAAAATAACGTTTAAATTAGAAGAAAAATGTATGCATGAAAGGGTGAAATATATTTGTAAAATATTTAATTTTTCCAGGTGTATTCGTATTTTTAAGAGCTCGCCGCAGTCAGGTGTGAGTGGGAAAGCCCACCACTAGGCCTCTTTGTTAAATTGATATAATTAACCGAACCCTGGCGAACAGCAACCGGATTGAAAGCCTGAAAATTGATCGTAAAGAATACACTGGATATAGCCAGCTTGCCTCATTATGGTTGCATACTTTTCGCGCCCAGTGTTGCATCCTTCCTCATTTTCCCCAGTTGAGAGGCGGCAATTTGGCGCACAAGAGCGTTTCCCTTTCGGGGCAACCGACCACCATTCCCCAC